GCTGAATACTTCATGATGGGAAACAAAGTCACTCATGAACGACCGAATAACCCCTGCACAACTGCGTTAACGCGTCCCGGTTGAATGGCAGAGAATGACAAGTGATTGAAAATAGCATTATTCCGCAGTAGGTGTACTATTTAAGTGTGCGAGCTTGAAAATAAACAAAATAATGATCAATGGAATAAATAAATCATTTAGCGACCACTCAAAATTAATAAATGTTTGACAAAAACTAATTTTTAGCGGTGAAATTATAGCACTCGGTTTACAAAGCATAGAATAAATACGTCGTTGACAATGAGTAAGTCAATGTTTCTCAACACCGATATGTAGCTACAACAGGTAGAACTCAAGTGTGCTTTGCACTAAAAATCAAGCTATAAATCGGCTGAAAATGCTGTTGAAATTGCGCTAGGATTATCCGACTGCTGTTTAACCGTATCTGACTCAGAGGAAACCTTAATTATCCAAGGACTCTGGATATGTCCAAGAAATACCAGAGAAGCACGAAAAAGCTAACCGATAATTTCCAAGCTTAAATACCTTTCATACTCAGATGTCTGCGTACGGAATACAGCCAATCTCCTGCATGTTTGCAGATGGTTACATGATAAAGGATTCAGACTCCCAGATTAGAGTTCAATTTCTACTAAATGTTCACCACACGAACATTAAGAAAGATCGGCGTTTGCTTTCACCGTTGCTTGCTTATGAATTTCCTTCAACCAGTTGAAATACACATTCGGCGTATAGCAAACCTAGAAAATGATAAGTAAATTTCAGGACATTCAGGTTAGAAGGATAGATAACAAAAAATGACAAAGCTAATTTTCAACAAATTCGTCATGTTCTTTATTAATATACGTATCGGTGTATCGCAAAAGCAGACAACATATTCAACTAATTCGTTTCTTTCAATCCGCCACACTTTTACCTACGCAACAAAACAACCACTCCGTTGTGAATCAACGATTTGTATTTACAGCTTCAAAGCGTGGTTAGCTATGGTAAAGATAATTACAAGTTGGGTGCGCTGTAGACGATATTGTTTTTAGGGTCTTCATGGTTGCTGGCACAAAATCACTTGTGCAATTTTCCGTTCTCATCACGCCTAGTTCTGGTGGGATAATTAGTCACAAACATCATGATGTCTCTTGATTAATATGCTCATTTAAACTAAAAATTGTTAATATTTCACTGCATTCGTTAAGAATACCCACTTAGAAGTTAAATATAATGGTGTACTCGCAAGCACAACATACTAAAAATGTGGGTAGTGCACAATATCAGGAAAGGAAGAAAGCCATACGATGCTTTCGACGACAACGGTTTGAAGGTGAACCGCGTGATCATTTCGTCAATAATTTGGGGGTCATAAAATCCTCAACCCTTTGGGTGCCCCATGACAGATTGGTGGGCTGCATGAGAGAAAGTCAGGCCTCCCAAACACCTGTGCGAATATTTTATTTATCGGGTAAATATCGTGTGCACTACTGACAAACTAAGGCAAGCAAAAGGAGCCAAAGGCCACTTACAATCGTAAGTTAACTATAATAATTTGGGTTATTATAAAAAATGAGGCTAGGCCGAAGCGTTCCACTAAACATTGCCCCTGCCATGAGTAGTAGCCCACGTTCATGCCAAATTTGGTGGGCTCAATATAAGCACTCAACATCACGGTGGACAACTTACACTAGGTGCAAACCAACACGGAAAGACTATGTGCCAAAATAAATATACTATTTGACGTCACTTGATAAACAGTGTTCAACGTTCTCAACAAAGCGTTTAGGGGCTGGGGCTTAGTATCTGGGTCCACTTCATCGGGGCCGCTGGGTCACACAAAAAAATTTCCTGTTAAAAATTATTGACAAAATCTTCTTATGTCATTTTGGTGTTAAGATTATTTACTAGAACAGTACGCAATCGGTACATATACCAAATAATAAATGTTGGTGAACATCGATTCCAGTCTTCATTTCCAAGTAACATAGTTATCCAGAGTAACGGGGCTACCTTACTTAATATGATGCCTGTTGATTTTGGAATACCCTTACCCACATTCGTCCACTAAATACTTTGATTTTACTTTGAGCAGCTTGTTAGTCCATATCGATGGAACGACTTTGCCATACTAAAATGACTAAAGTATCTTTGACAGTTGATGTGAAACAATTCACAGCTATCCAAGGTGATTCCTCACGACGTGTTGAGCTGCATTGGAAGAACGCCTCATCGAATGTATAATGTTTCATTAAAGCTTTATGGGTAAGTAAACTCCCCAGCCGGAGCATAGGGATATTTGTTGGCATGAATTTTTAGGTATGCTTTTCAAGTCCGTGAAAATAGAGAGACGTCTGGCATGCTGTGCTGGCCATCAGGCATTCTTGACTGTGGAGTTTGTGAACGTAAATAAATTTGGTGTATTCCGTGACCGTAAGAGTGCACGCGTTTACCAGACTCCTTAGAAATGGTGATCCGTGCATTTTTAAACGGTCACACCTATTTGAGCGCTCTATCATCTCGATTCACCACCTCTTTAGGCAGTGATTCACTTGCACGTACAACACAAACACAGATATTTTTCTGTCTGCAATTATCTACAGTTATGTTTTCGAACCCGTAGTTTAACAAACATCCAAGTGGGAAAGACGAGATATGTAATCAAAAATAAGGATAACCTAGGTCTGAACAGGTGAGTCTGTGGTGGAAGCTGAACATGGGAATTTTACTATTTGATTATATTTTCACCGTGTTGCTTTGTAATCCAGTTGTGCAGCATATGCGAATGAAGCTATACATTTGCAATGAAGACATATTTACATCAAACGACTTTGTATGCCAAGAAGTCTCTTACTGAAATTTGCTTTCCCTGAAATCCGCTACGCAGAAAGAGCACACGAAAAATTTCATTTAAGAACAATGGGACAATAAACAATTTACCGGCAGGAAACCCGCCGTCAGTATCATAAAAACGGAGGCTTCATTCGCATAGATTTGCATAGTAGCTCCTGGCCAGAATAAAGAGTAGATTGGCAATTGAGCGTAAGATAATTTATTTATTTTGATAGGTATATATCGCACATGGGAAACCCGAAAAATATAACCCGGCTTGGGTGATGCCAATGACAAATCACATTACAGTTATACATATGTACAAACACCTAATCGGGAAGCATTCAACATACCCGTCTGATCTGCCCGAGCTCACAGCAGACAACAACTGGAAAATTCACAGCAGAAATAAAAGCATATTGAAACCATACACAAGTAATCACGTGCAGCAAACCATCGTGGCTGAAGTGCTCTGCGGTGCAACAATGGGAGTGCTTCATAATGTGGTCTTGAATGCGCCGCACGGGAGGAAATTCGGTTGTAAGATCGCAAGTATCACCGTTTCGAACAATCTGATGAAGCCTGGAATAAACACATTAGGGTGTGCTAGTCGGCCAGCGGATAATTTCTACGCGCGATTACTACCACTTACCAACGTAGGAAACCGGGGATACGTAACGGAGCTTAGGTGGTGTATATGACAGAGCCACACGAAATGCACGCGAGCATAATCCTTTAATGGTTTTTACCCTAATTTCATATCAACTATACGTCATGTAATTCAGAACGTAAGCCTCAGTAAAATGTATGCACAGGGAAAGCTATAGTTGGACATCTGACGGTGCAGCGGTAGCGTACGGGAAATTTGCCGATTGTGCAAAAGTAAACGACTGAATGTTTTGCAACACTGAGTGAACCATTGGAGGAACTCAGCTGTTACTTCGATATTAAGCACAACCAAAGATAATTTGGCATCCACAATGTCCGTTGGGAAATGCAAATGCATTTGCATTTCGATGAAACAGTTCACCGTATGTTCGAGGCCCCATCCTGGGGCACTAGATTAATGTGTTTCTCAGACCTCTAACCGTCAACCAACTTAGTGTTAGGGACTCGGTGAGCAGTGCCGGGATATCCCAGTGTAGCTCACTGTGTAACTGAGGTGCGCAGACCTTCACACCTCAGTAAGGTCCAATATCCTCTTGACGAAGGACATCTCGATACGCTAAACAACACATGACCAACAAAAAACGAACCCTTGCATCATCACAGAAGCACGCAGAACATCACCGAAATATCGAAGACTCACTCACAGCTCCCAGCGGGCTGCGTTCTGCGTGCTTTTCGGAGAACCATGATATTGTATGTGAGCAGCTTAGGATGGATGACGGAAGCATGATCGTTATGGTTGTGAGAGTTAAATGCGTAAGATGAGGAATATGAGAATTTCGCATACTATATGGCGTTTGTGAATTATCATTCATCACTCATGATCACCGGTAGAATCCGTTGGGCCAACTGCCCGTGAATGGAGGGATTTTACTTTAGCGGAAATTGGTAGCGTGATTCATGTGTATTTGCCCTATTGTTGAGTATTTAACGGATGACGCAAGTTTTACGCAGATTTGGCATTTTTCAAACTGTCTCATACACTGTCTTGGCTGTTATTCAGACTGAATTCTATTTAGCGCCATTCTTGGAAATATAATCTGGCCTTGTTGGATTGCGTTTAGCTCGGCAAAGGCCATTTCAATACTTTGATTGAATATAATTGGCCCTGGAGTATTTTGAAATGTGATGTGCCGCAGTTTCGGATAGTTGTCAAACGCCTTTTTTAAATGCTTTGCAAATAATCCTCTAAGCTGATAAATTTTGTCCTACGTCTGCGTTGAATACACAATCCACTTTCGCATTCAGAATGATGTCCCAGTTCATGGAAGCGCATCCAATAATTCATGACAATCTCTACAGTGTCATTTCCATGGTTTACTTCGCTTCTACTTACATGCATCAAATATTAAGCCACAAATATCTTCTTTGGGCAGGGGATATTTTTGTCGTCCATTAAATGTCCATGGTCAAAATATTCTGGCACAAAATATCATTAACGTAGTAAGCATTACATTTGTTCCAATATGCATTCTCTGTATTTCTTATTTTAGTACGTCTGTTCGACATTCTTGATAGTCAGTTGCAACTCGACCATGATGTCATATTGGGCGTTAGCACTAACCTATCGGGTAGGTTAAGAGCAACCGATTCTCCATGTGAATAACCCTGACACTGCCTTCGTTGCTGTTTGCATAGCCATATTTTTCATCTCATTTTTTATCGATTATGAATTTTGGTTTGTGCATATTCGTGTAGATATATGTATGTATGTACATCTATTCCATTTCATCACTTGAGTTTCAACACGTTTTCAACAAAACCAGGTGGATCATCTTCAGAACAACAAATTGAGTGTCAATCTTAATTTTGCAGAGCTCGTGAATGAATTTGATCTGTATTTGGTGACTATGGATTGGTTTAGTGAATTTCAGCTAAAACATTATGCCCGGCGTAATGGCGAATAATATGAATTCACACTCTGAGCAGAAAAAATTCTGTAGAATTAAATTGAACCTGTAGAGGTATGGAGTCCTAGTGGGTTAAGTGCACAGATATATACCATTCAACAATTCTAACTTCAGCAAACGAGCCTGGCAATGCAATGAAATATCCAGTTAAGTAAAGTCCGCTTGACACATGTGGCAGTCTTTCATTCGTTGTGAATAGTGCCTACGAGAATGAAACCTACCAAGTAGCGATCTAGATAATCTCGGACCTTCCTTGATTGTGTTGAGTTTGGCATAGGGGAACCGTTTAGTTCTTATAACGGAACTGGACCTGTCAGCGACTCGAATGTTTTCCCGGATTTTTTTCAAAAGCGACACGTAGCACCATCTTACATAAGACTATGACAGCATAGTATAGTCTATAAACTAACCATTGCGCCGAAACCGATTGTCTGGCCTGACACTTTGCGTTCTCATGTGGGATAATATACGAGATCACGGAGACGCATCCATTAAAATATAGGATCTTCGACTGTATGGCAATTCTGTCTTTCATTGAACATCCCCGGCCAAATTTTTTTCTGAAACAACCTTTTGTGGTAGAGGTTTCACATGTAAATTCTACGAAGTTTGCATGCGATCACATTGAGTTAACGGTAAAAGCTTGAGCATTTATGTTACACGGAATTCGTACAGTTGTACAAGTGTGGTTGCCCCAATAGCGAAAAGTATCCAAGGCTACGCATACGCCACACGTCCTGACTAGTGCGCCTTCTGCTGCTGGACACATTCAATAATCCCTGTTCCCGTTGTTCAAACAAAAAACTGCTTTCTACTTCCCTAGTTACTGCTATCAATAACCTCAGGACCAATCCCTTTTCGAGAGCGGATCTAAAAGAATGGATGGTTAAATTAGTCGAATACAGCGTTGAAATTCAGAAACACTAGAATTGTCGGTCACTTATGCGCCTGCCTTTGTCCTGTAGTCTGAAGAAAATTAAAAATCGGCACATCACCACTCCTATCAGTTTGGAATCCAGCTAACTGCTCTTAAGTCAGTGTTTAACCGTTGGGCGACGAAGCGCCGCTGACGCCAAAAGTCCCCGTGATATCGGGTCCGGCACGTTTACTTGTGAATGCCGCAATCAATACGAGCTCATTATCCAGATACATGAAACAGGATTCTTCCCTCAAAACTAGGCGGATAAATTTGCCGAGGGTTGTCTGAGGAACTCACTCCTGATCTTTGAACAAGGCTGGTAAAAGGTCACCGAAAAAATAAAATCGCAGCACATGGTGACCATGATAATTGTTGGTCGAGTTTCTTGGCCCCCTGTATCTACACTACATGCCGGTTGGCTGTCACGCTCGCCTTCATTTGACTTCGGGTAATCGACCACATCAAGTTACGTTCAGGGCCGGCTGGGGCGTTTCTCCGGGATTCGTTCCGATACCCGTGCTTGAGTAGCCTAATAGTGCCCGTTTCCATGAACTATGCAAACAGGTGGCACCTTCGTCCCAGCGTCATCTAATGTCTGATGGTGGAGCCCCCAGTAGAAACTCCAGAAGACACTAATATGAAGTATCACAAACATACAAAACAGCCAGTTTTTCACTTGTCAAAAGGTGTGCCTCTTCCTTGCACGGCGCTTAAAGAATTGGGAAGACCGACGATGGAGAGAGCGCGATCGCAGTCAAGGAATATTTTCTACAAAGAACAGTTGTCGGTACCTGGTGGCAATGAGATCGATCCGAGTTTTGGCCGGAAAGCCGGTGAAGGAATCCATGTGGCCAGGTGGATCGTACTGCAGAGTGAAAGCTTCATAAAAATATCCTGCGTTCAACATCACTACAGAGGGTAAGGACCGATTCCAATCCATGTTGGTTGA